AATAATTAAAAATGATAAAATGACATGAAGCAATTATGCAGCTTCTCAGAATATTACCATATGAAATACTTATACAGCCACTTTATAGCAGCAATATCAGAGAAAAGGGTTCCTGGATTATCAGGTTTGCCAACTCAATGAATGTCAGACTATCACACTTTTATTGTAGATATGTCAACCAGCTACTACTTTCAAAATGAATGCATCACATGAACTTAGTAAAACTCAGTATGTCAGGATTGCTGACACCTAACAAAATTCAATCATTTCACCTATGAGCTATCTGGCAACTTTCAGATATTACCTGCAATAACAAACAATGTGGTGGTAAAATGGAAGCATAAAAAAGTTATAAAACTTCATCTTTTACGCGAAAGCCTCCCACAAAAAACAAATGATCATGATTTTGATGCTTTTGATATATGCTGAAAGCAGATTGTTAGGTCTCATTATAAACTGTAACTAAGACATTTGATCAGCTTCAAGCACTAATGGCACTTCATATCATCTGCAGAATGGTATTTGAACTTGGATTTCATAATGAACTGCAGAACATAAACCAACCATCACTTGACTGAACACTGATCACCGGCAACAGTTGCAAAAAGAGAATCACCAATAAACACAGAAACGATGGAAGACATCTTGTAGTTTGGTTAATCCCACTACATGCTGTAGAGATCTGATGAACATATGTGGATAAAAAAATTGCTAAGAAAACACTGTATACTGAAGTATGGTCTCCACAGTAAAATTTGGTGAAGCAAATTTTTCTTATTCTTAGACCCCAAACTTTTGTACCTGGAATCTGAATGGCAAGAGCTAACAAGCTGTGGAGGACAACTATATTCTGCCTACACTGTAATACTAGTACTAAAACTGGCACATTCTGCTTTTAGCATAAAAACATACTAATTCATGAAGCAAAGATAATAACTGAATTTTTCAAAGCAGTGGAAAATAATGAACTTAACTTCTTCACACAAAGCCTCAAACATCCAACTAAGTATTGAAATGAGCTGAAGTGCAAACAAATTAAATAATAGAATACACATACAAAGTTGTGCACTGTGTAATCCACCGATAGACAGCATTATGTAAAAAAAAAAAAAAAGCTGCCATTAGATAGAGAGAAGTAGAAAGGAGAATGTGAGCAATGTGAGCATGATTTCCTAGCATACAACTAGAAGTATATGTTTATAAATATGTGCATTGATAAACAAAATTTACTTAATACTACGTCTTGTTCAGTCATGGCAGAGTGAAAGAAACTCCTAACTAAGAGGGATTTGATGTGGATTATGATATGAATCGGATTACTCATGTAATATGAGCATAGAAAAGGCGTAAGTTTCAATTTTAAAATTTGAATGCATATGAACTATAAAATATTTAGATTAAAATACCTGTGACAATTAGAAGTATATTATTAGTTAATAACATCGATGAGAATATACAAAGAAAGCATTAGATAAAGCGAAACTGAAACACAGAACTCTGAGAAGATTAACAACATAAGAATTTAACAGAATATCTGAATTACTGGAACAAGATATTACAGATATAAAATCATTTGAAAAATGTGAGATGAATCTACAAGAAAAAGTAGAAAATGAATCTACAAGAAAAGTAGATATTTAAGTTAGATATAAAAATTGAGAATTTAATTCCTGAAGTATCAGATCCTGAAGCAGAAGTGGAGAATAATCAGGAATATAGAGAGCACATTATTTAACAAAAGCAAAAGTCAAGAATTATCCCCGGAATTCATATAGAAATTAGGCAGATTTGTAGTTGAAGAGCAATTCTTCACTTATTTTGAATAGTGAACACCACAGAAACCTGAAATAAATTTGCCAAAACTTCATGTAGAACCATTTGAGGGTAATTTCGAGAAGTTCAAGAATTTTGATCACACTTTGATAATGGATTCACAGTAATGAATGCTTACCTAAAGTACATAAATATAATTATTTTAATCTTTCTTAAAAGGACCAGCCATAATTAATATTCAAGGATTATTGGTAGCAGAAAATAATTATGATTTAACAGTGGAATTGCTTAAAGAAAGGCATGGAAAAAAAATTATTCTAAGATCTCATATTAAGTAGTTGTTGAATTTAAATGCTCTAAAATCAGCCTCCTATTTATTTGTTTATTGTAAATGACAAGGCACAGCTGTATGACCTAATTGTCAGGATAGATTTTTTAAGGGATGAAATGTTGGCTTATGGGAAAACAGGAGAGGCATTTAACATATCGTATGCCAACAAAATTCCATTCGCACAGTTTAAAAACGAAGAAGTGTAAACATATTAAGTTATTCTAAGAAACCAATGTAAATAAAAAGTAATATGATTTTATTTCAAAACAAACATGGAAGTCCGGATTCAGTAATGGAAGTTACTGATGGTAGGTTGATAGTCCCAGTTATGAACATAGGACACAATAACATCAGATTAAAAGGAAACTAAATTAAGTAATACAATAACAAATCCAAAGTTGTACACTGTGCTTCAGGAGAAACAATGCAAAATAAAAAAATGCCTGTAGGTATTTAAAGAAATTTAGTTGAACGTCTTGCTCACAGAATGCAGATGGTAACAGAGGTGAATAGTGGACCTGCACTTATACTGATACCATTCGATAAATACATTCCCATACTTGCCAACCTATGACACTCAAAAATCAGGAGATTTTTTTAAAGAAATCAGGAGATTTTTCACAATGTTAAAAAGACTTTTTAAATGATAAAAATATAATTTTCAATAATGAATTAACTTTAAATGGTAACTAATTCTTAAATGCAAGCAACACAAAATACCTTACACACATAAAAAACATTTTATTACTTGCATCGTTTAAGAGAACAAAAAGACACTTTAATCAGTTTTCGTACAAATGTTATAAACAGTGGCGGATTTTGCTTTCTTTAAGAAAGAAACTTCATAATTTTGTTCACAGCAATTGCCACGTAGGCCTGCTTTCGTTAATAAAAGTTTTCCTAATGTGTCATCACTAATATTAGATCTAAATTTAGTCCTCGTTTTCGCAAACACACTGAAAATCCTCTTACACTCTGCATTACTATGGGGAACTGTCAAGATGGCCAACATAATTCTAGATAGTTCACTATATTTTACAATTCCATCAGCACCTTTCAGTTTTCCAATTAAACTCCACTGGGTGTCAATCCTAGCTGATTTTAAACTTCATCCAAGTTTTCTAATTGTAAACTGCTGTTATGAGCTGTTTGGAACTGTTTTTAAATTTTTCCTTCCTTTTAGAACTCCTTCCAAGATAATAATAAATATCAACAATGTGTTCATCCACATTTATAAGTTTTAATAATTAGATGTGCAAAGCCTTTTGAATGTCCTTCTAAAGTGGGGACAGAAAGTAATTTTCACTCCATTTCTGAAAACTCTGGATTAAAAAAAAAGGAACAACAATTGGATACAGTTTTGAATCGGTATTATTGGTTCCATCCCTAAAGAAGCAGAACAGAGCTGTTTTAACGCAATCAACTAAAGATTTATTTTTCAAACTCATTTCTTTAACAATTTACCTATTTTGGTCCTTACACTTGAGTATTTCTTAGCGATTTGGCTATCGGGGAAACATTTTTCTAAATAAAGCTGCAGCGTGATCCGATGCATTCAGTGGCAAGGTTTGCTCGAGTAAAAAGGCAGAGACAGACATTCTGCATTAATAACGTTTTGGTCCTTTGTTTCTGAAGAAAAATTTAATTTTTCGTTTTTTTTTTTTTTTCAAAACAACTCATGTTGTCCTTGTATTTTTGTGTACTCACATGTTTGAGAACACCCGCCCTTCTACCATCGAAATCGAAAAATCGCAACGACAGGCGGTAGATATCGCAAATTTATTACATTTCCTTGAGGAAATTATGAAAGTAAAGTCAACTGTGTACGATTTTTGAATGTACACGAGTATTTCACCTTCTCTCAGACATAACAAAAGATGAAATTTCAAACTATTTCCCGAAATACTCACACAACTCAGGGCAAGAACATAACCGAATAACAGCCAAAGAACATATTCTTTGTAACAGCCTTGAATTTGCTGTGTGCTCATTGGATAATATATGCCAGATGAAACGCAGTGGAGCTCGAATGCCCATTGAAGAACTGGAGAACGACGTTTCTGTATACGTACGCTCGTATACAGAATGTTATATATGTTGTGAGAGCGTACGTATACAATATGTTTCTGTATACGTACGCTCTCACTCACACAGCAGAAATTCTCATCTGATTCGCAAGATTTTGTTTTAGATATAATCTAGAGAAAATTCAATTGCTTTCAGACGTCAAAAATCCCCCTTTTTTTGTTCATATAACAAAGTATTAAGCCAAGTTCCATAAAAATCGTGAGAATAAAAAAAAAGTCGGGAGAAATATATTGTAAATCGGGTTGGCGGGAGAGCGGTCGAAAATCGGGAGTCTCCCGCCTAAATCTGGAGAGTTGGCAACTCTGCATTCCTATGTATGTCTGATTGTTAATGACAATCTACTGTATTTTTAATTTCGTGTAACTTCATTATAAAAAAAAGTAAGCTAACTCATGAAGTTCACACTCCTGCATAATTACATTACATGCCCCCTTTCTGCTGTCTTGTTTGCATCTGATATATGTGGTATGAAATTTATATATATTTAAGGCTGCCAAACAGCACCACCATTCTACCTTGCTAACCATCCATACATAAATAAAAACTCTATCTTATTATATTTTCAATAAAATATGTCAAAACTGAGAAAAGCCAGGTTTATAGCATGAAGAGGCAGCATGCAGGAGAATTCGGACTATCTTATACATAAATAACAAACAATTTCATCTCCAGGGTATTTAACACAAGCAGATTTTGAATAATGAATGAACATAGGGACTTAAAGAAGCACATGATACAGAACTATATATCATTATATAATACAAAGCTATACAATTTCAATAGAAAAAAATTTAAGAAATATACTTACCCTTGTATCAATAAAAAATAAATAGTCTAAGACACCCTGCACAGCTGAATGTACATCTGCATTTTCATAAATAATTGCTACTGGCCTTCTCGATAATGAAAGTTCATATGGTATCTTCATAGACAAAGCTAACTGGGCTATTTTTCTGCTCTTTGCAAATGATCCAGTAAAAATAAATTTTGAAGCTTGGGGCAAACATGTAATGTTTTCTTGGTCAATTGGAAGAACATTAAGCATACCAGGTGGAAGTCTAAATTATTATAAAATTATACATTAGTGGAAGAGGAAATAAAAGAAACTTCTAATTTTACTTTTCACATTTCATCTTATCACCTGAACATTTACATAAACTTATCTTTGAGATATGAAATGCCTAGTCAAAAATTAAAACTGATAGTTTTAATAAGAAGAAATGTTCATAGGTATATATGACATGCGAACTTATAAAAGGAATTAAAGCGAAGAGTGTGGCACATGGTTCGGTAATTATGATACATCAGTTGATAATCAATTAAGCTAAAAAAGCCTATAATTATTGATATTATGTGGCTAATGTATTGCAGTTAATGAATTGATAAATTTTCACATTTTGAAAGAAAGAAATTTTCATCATGTAGTAAAAACTGGAACAACTGTTTTTAAGTACTAAAAATTTTTAAATGTAATAAAAACTCAGCTAATTTTAAATGCATGTAATTTACAATGACAATAAAATTATTCAAATTACAGATTACCATTCTGTGAGATGATTATACAAATGTAAATAAAAAATAGAACAATGAATCAGATGATTTAGCAGTAGTGATGGAATAAATCACAATGCAAAAGATTTAAATTCATGTTCTGAGAAACATTTAATAATTCGTATATCATAATGAAGAAAGGGGATATTTCATAACCTACCAGATTTCAACATCTCATCTTTTCTTCACGAGCACTGAAAACAAAAGTGTGAAATAAAATTTTTTCTCATGCAGTTTCTCAAGACCAAAAATAAGATGACCAGACAGAAGATTTTAAATTCATATAGCCATGCCATGTAGGTAATTTAAACAAATTACTGACAGAAAGAATTACACAGATGGCATCTTAATGACATATTTTTTTAAAAATAAGTTGAAGGTAATTCAGGTCAACCTTCCAGCATATATTTTATAAAATAAAATATAAGTTGCAATGTATACGAAGTGTCTCCGATTGGTATATTGCACTGATATAACAAGATGGATTGAAAAAAAGTTTTCAGCATTTTCATTATCACCTAATTCATTGCCACATATAAATGTAAAAAAAAAGAAAAAGAAAAAGAAAGAAGAAGCAATCATTTCTTGAATAAAACTGATACCAAGCTAATCTCTAAAAATTCTTTAAAAGATATTTTCGAGTAAGTGTAAAAACTTAATGGCTTAATGGGCATGATCATTATTTGAGAAAATAATAACAGATAAAACATTTATCTACATTAAACATTTTTTCTATTTTCTCATTTTAAAATAAAATAATATATACATAAGATATATATATATATATAATAATATATAAGAATCTTTTTAAGACATGGGATTTGGTTCCATTTCAATAAGATGTAAAAATTACACCACACTACTAAATTTTTCTCAGTACAAAGCATAAAATAAGTTAAAATACTTCAAATAAATAATACAGGGTATTTCTAAATGAATATTGGGGTTTTAACCCTTTGTAGTATTTATTACGTAAAACTTTAAATTATAATCAACACATGAAATGAAAGAGGAACTCAAACAGTTATAACTACAAATTTACAAGTGTTCAATGTGAGCACCTTTTGTCACACGGCACACATCAAGTCGAAAACCCTTGGTCATCCCGTATTCTTCCCTTTGCAAAGGTAGCCCTTATTTTCAAACTGATGATACCATCTATGGATGTTATTATCACTTGGGGGATCACATCTCAACTTAATACAGAATGCATATTGCACAGTAAATACAGATTCAGTCTTTGCAAACTTCAGAACAAAAAGCTTTCTGTTCACTAGTTGTCATTTTTGCTACTAGTGCTTTCTGGTGCATGAGCATACCAACAAACAGAACTGTTTGACTTGCTCTTTCATTTCATGTATTAATTATGAATTTAAGTTTTATTTAATAAATAGTACAAAGCATTAAAACCCCGATATTCATTCAGAAACACCCTGTATAATATGTATTTTGTTTTACCACAATGAGCAAACATTTTGTTCCATCTTAATACCTGAAAGAATTCAAAACCTGATACATTTACAGTATGAAACATATAAGTGTATCAAAAAATCAAAAAAAAAATTTTCCATATTATTTGTATGATATGAAACATGAGCTACCTGTAAGTTCTCAGAGAGATATTATTTTATTTCAGAGTGTGGCGCACCATTAGATAACTTCCCCAATATCATAAAGAATTATTCTACTAGCTATAATTGCCATGGAAAGTTTTCTTTCACAATGTGTATGTTTTCTAATTGAGCTTAAGCAGTTTTGCAATCAGCATTAGACTGACTAGAACAAAGAAATGTTGTTTTAAAGGGTGAAGGTGGCAGTGAAAACGCATCAAATGCTTTTAAAAAAAATTTGGCATAAAACTACATCGAACAGTTTAAAAACAGATGAACGTCACATCAGTTAAGGATGATAAATACTCTCAATTCCATAAGGAGGGATCCCAAAGAAAATATAAAAAGAGTTTATGATAAAAATTCTATGAAGACCACACTTTAACAGTTGATTACCTTTTCAAAGCCCTAGGCTTTGCCTTCAAAACTGGTCAGTGAATTTTAACTGATGAACTGAAATATGACACACTACACCATAATTGATGCCTTTTCTTTTGATCTAACCTTCATTTCTCAGAATTATGACTGGAAATGAAACATGGGTATACCATTATGACCATGAATGAAACAAGAATAATTTTGATTACTATCAAATTCACAATGACTGAAAAATGCATCAAATCCAAGGTGACAAGAAGGCAATGTGATTTGTTTTGCAGCATTAACTCTTTGAAATCCAGACCCTTTGCTAAGTTGTATCCTCAAAATACCAGAACCGCCCGAAATACTTTTCCAGTTTCACAGCAATTTCTTCCCCTCCCCGTCTATTAATGCAGAAAATAGATGTGAAGATTTCCAATGACATCCTTTGTACTTTCTAACAAAAATCCATTAGCCTTTGACCCCGTTCTTCTTATAAACTATTCTGAAGGTCAGATCAACAAGCCTTTCGGCTTTGTTATGATCACGACTGAGATTTGTTTATTTCCGTATTTTTATAGGAAGGAATAAATTGTTTAAAAATAAATATAATCCTTAAATTTTTTAAAATAAATATAATCCTTAAATTTTTAAACTGCTCTTTTATGCTGTTTAAAGCTTAAAAGCACACTGTACCACAAAAAAATCACAACGAAATGTCACGATCAAACCAAAGATAAAAAAAACCTTAGGACAAGCTGTCTGCAGTAAACTGATACAATGCATTTGGGGAAAGTGCACCTGCTAGTGCATACCTTAGGAGGAGGGAAGAAAAGAAGATTACAATCTCGGCCGTTTTCGGGTGGTTTTGGCTGTTTCAATGTAGGGCCGTATTGGGCGGATTGGATGTGAAGGAGTTAAAGGGCTCATCACAAGGATTTATTCCAACAACAGCAAATTAAGAATACACTATTCTGCAGGACTTTTTATATACTTCAAAGAACAAGTTAAGAAAAAAAATTCTATATATGTGGAAAGACAAACTTTGGATACTGTAACCCAACAATGCACAAATTTCTCATTGTGCATTAGGTGTTTTACTTCCACACTCCTTTACTATCTGACTTAACAACTACCAAGCTTATATAACGTTCCTAAAAATGAAAATGAAGCTCAAGGCAAAAATATATGAGAGATAGTACATAAAATGAAAAACAAAGCAAAATATGTTGAAAGAAATGATAGAAAATTATGTGTATTTACACATCAGTGCAACAGAAGAGTACTTGAAAGGTGATGAAGTCAAGACAATTATGTATGAAAACAGTTTTAAACAACTCAATTCCTGGAAGTTTGGGATCATACCTTGTAAATAAAATAAACTAGAATTTAAACAGATACAAATTCTAAAAACCATACTGTAACATGCAAACCAACAAAAATCATACCAATGTTTCCCTTAGTAAGAGTTCTTTTTATTAATTAAAAATTAAACACACTGCTGTCACCTTGAAAAAAAAAATCTTTACCCATTGAAAAAAAAAAAAAAATCTTTACCCATTGAAAAAAAAAAAAAATACTAGAATAAATCTGATACAAAATTTTATCATTAGGTGTCATTTTTATTGAAATGATAGTATACATATAAAGGAGTTATCAGGAAGTCAATGGCCCAAAACGTATATACATATTATATGGTTCTTCATCAATTGTACTAATTAGTCTTAAAAAGTCCTTCATCAATTGTACTAATATTATAATAAATGCCACTAATAATATCTGTTGGAAAGCATTTTTAAGAGCATCATATTATTTAGGATATTTGTCATATTAATAAGCATTATATTGTCATAATATGAAAGACTATGAAATATCTCATGCCATATAAATTAGTGACAGCTTTCGAGTTCAAACAAGATCTTTGACAAAGTGAAATAATAACATGAGAAACAGACAATTTCATACACATAATCAAATTATTTTGAAAGAAAAATGTACAAAAAAGATTTCTAAGGTGACTCATCCTACTATATCAAATATACTCATCCTATATCAAATATACTCATCCTAGAACAAATTAAAAAAATAATTCCAAAACTTAATTCAAAAGCAGAAAAAAGTGTGTGAAATCCATTTTTTATTTAAAACATATTAATGTGATATATTTATATTTTACATAATATATTACATTATATAAAATACTAAACAAATTTATTTCATACGAATGAAAAAACGAATTACAAGGAAACTTACCCACATAAGCTACATAGTTCAGCCAAGAACAATGCAGATAAACATGACTTCATATCAACCAACAATAAAAGTGAATTTCCAGTAGCAAGAATGGATCCTACTCTCCAACTTATTGACATCAATGGGTTATTAAATTCATCAGCTATTACACATACAACACCTGACAAAAAATTAAATGAATTATATTGATGGGTGAAATATATAAACTGACACTAAATTAAAATGGCACAAAACTTTTAAAAAGCAAAACCAATCTTTTTACAATGCACTTATTCTTTTCAAAGTCAATAAAAGTAAGAATGTTAAAAAATAAATAAATAAAAAAATCAGCATCATGGTTCAAATTTTACATAAAATTTTAAAAAAAAAGTTAATTTAAAAAGCAATATGCATGATAAGTTGCAAGAATGTAGACCTGCCCCACAGAATTAGCATTATTTATTTTTGTTATTTGCAGTTTGCTAGCTAAGGACAAATGTGTTTAGCACCTTCATGTTTTAAGTGCTCATATTTAATGCGATTCCACATGCCAACTTTGGGGCACATCTGAATAAATAACACATACAAAATAATTGATTACTGCCATAATTCAGTATAAATGGTCAAAACATAAGTGGGAACAATCCACAGAATGATCAAAATTGCATTTAGTTTCAAAAAAATAATTTAGATACTGACTAATTTTTGACTAATTTAATACCCTTCAGAAGCTCACTCACTCAACACATCTGAGCACCCATTTCAAATCATACAAAACATATTGTTCATAACATATACAAAATTCAAAAGTTATACAGCAACTGCTGGATACTCTAGCAGCATTCAATTAAAAATTTTATACCTTTAGTTAATCTCATGCAATAGTTGTAGAATTATCAACAATTTAAAAGTTTAAGTGGTGCTAAGCCAAAAGTTATTTTCAAATCTGTACACCAAAAATTTTGTCTTCCTGCCGATTGTTTGAATTGCTTGTATTGGCTTAAAAACTAATTTTAATTATAAAAATGGTCTTTTTAGCTATTTTTAACCATATTTGGTGTTAGGTTTTCTTCTATTTTACCATTTTTAATGAAGACGTTTTGATTTTTTATGTATTTTTGCCTTGCTGCGAAGTGAGAATGGAACTGATGAATGAGAATTCATCAGTTAATGTGTATAATTTAATAGGCTGTACAAGGAAGTCATTAGGTGCCTGCAACAGATATTTTCAGTTTTAACACATCACAGTTTATCAATAACTACTATTAATTTGAACTTAAAGAATAAATACATTTTGAGAAAAATGGCAACATTTTTCTTCCTTAAATACATAATAGTCATTTTATGAAATTAACATACGTCTTCTGGAATATTACGGCTTATAAAAGCCAATCAAATATTTTTAAACAAATAATAAAACTATATTCAAAACACTTTTAAAATGTGTTTGATAACATACACACAGAGCTTTATAAAATTAAAAATACTTCTTTCCAATGCTCTTAAGGTACAAAATTCATTTTTAAGTGGAGTACAAAATAATTAAGATGTAAACAAACATCAAAAAAATTTTTCATTATTTGCAACAATAATACAAATACCCTTTTTAAATTATCACTAAGATATGTTATAAATAATACATATTAACTGCACTATAGATAGCACCAATTACAGATAAGCTTAAAAAGATAAAAATGCAAGTATTTAAGAAGTACATATACAGTGCTTTTAAACTGCTCTTCTTTTAGACAATGTGCTGTTTTCATTTTAAGACTTTCAAAGTTTTTAAGTTCAAATATTGTATAGAAATACCAAAAATTGAAAGAACTGGTAATTTAACAGATATAAAAGGAAAATAGAAGTTATGCTTTACAGAATGAACACATTTACCACCTATTAAATCATCAAAATACATGTCTTGTTAGACTACATGTGTGATGGTGACTAAAGACAACAAAGAAGTAAAACTATGGATGTGTCTAACCTAAGAGTGTCAAAATAATAATATTCTCCACATAATCTTTAGAAACTCCAGAGTTAAAAAAAGTTCAGTTAGAATCACATTCTATTCCTAGAACACACTGCAAGAGTACGCAAAAGGAGTACACCTGTCATCTACCATCTCTGTTTGTGTTGCAAGGTAGCCATATGATAACAAGCAATGAATTTTCATTGCTGAACAGTATTTTATTGTTGTTTTTATTGTTAAACAGCATTTAAAATTACAGTATAAAGCAACAAACATTAGTAAATAAGTCTTGTATGTGTTGCAATTTGTGCATCAAATCAGCAAATATTTACTTAATTATTCTGATGCACATAACTTTTCAATTATCTTGTATCATGACATCTCAGTTTACAATTCCTAAAATCTTTTTTGCTTATGGATAGAATTCTCTATATAATTAATTGTTCGCCTTGATCCAATGAACATCCATTGCCATAAATTTGAAAGTTGAGCAAAGAATGGCTATAAAATTTTGCTGTAAAGCTGTTAAATATTGGGTTATACCACCAACCATGAAACAATCACCAAGAAGGATGACTTATTATCAATTATGGACAGCAACGAAATAACACATGCATAACATCTGAGCTTTGGTTTGATTGAACTCCAACTGATTCTTGTAAGCTTTGTTTATAAGAAGAAAGACATAAATTATCTGTTATTGCTACTTCTTCCTCACTATTGTTAGGAAAAATATATATATATATATAAAGATTTAAATTTAGGACCTGCCTTCTACAGAACAGCAAACAATGGATTATTTTTCAAAATTTTGCGATCTTACCATTAAAAAAAGCATGCATTAATACACGATAATTTATACAAGATATGATCAGATTAATATGGACAACAGTAATAGATTGAAACAATTATCTTCAGTAAGTTTGTACTCTCAGTATACTTAACAGAGCTTCCAGTTAATTTGGATTATTAGAAGCAGAAGAACAGTTTTTTTGCAAAATACAAAAATGAAGCAAGTCAAATACTGATTGTTTACTAAACAGTCAATTCCTTCAGAATTCTGCAGGAACAACTCGCACAACTTTGGCAGGATCTTAGCCATCTTATGGTTTGATGGCAGCCAACTTTCATGGTTAATGGGATAATACCTAAGTACCAGTTATTTGAATATGACAAAACACAATAATGAATATGGAGATCAAGCATTAATATACTTCAAAGATTCAACAGAAGGAGGAAAAGGCTTTGGTTTGATGAAGTTACATTAGATATGATGTGGATAAAATATTTTCTGCAAAGAAAATAAAAATTACAATAACTCTTAATTTACTTTCTTTTTAAAAAGGGCAATTTTTGTTTATTGTGCATTATTTAAAACATGAACTTTTAATTATTTGACAGGATTGATCTATACAATAACTTTTTAAAACACTTCCTGAAATTTTTTTGGGGGGGAGGGGGCAGGGGGGAACTATTTTCTTTGATCTTGTAAAAATTTTATATTTTCCAGGTTAGTGGCCATATCATATACTTCCCGGTGAGTGGACTCGGCCATACTAAAGTATAGGATTATAAAAGAACTATGTTTCCTTGCTTAAAAAATAACAAAATAACTATGTTTGCAATGAATACCAATAGCTAAGTGACCACTACAAATTCTTAAGTAACACTAGACAGTAAAAGCTTCAAACATTTGTCACAATTATTGCAAGCTTCTGACAGGGCTGTGGAGTCAGAGTTGGAATCGGCAGGATTTTGGGGTAAAAGGAGTCGAAGCTAGAGTCGCTAAAAACAGGTCGAATCCAAATTCAGTTTTTGCTGGACAGTTTGAATTTGAAATTAAATTAAAATGAACTAAAAAAAAATTAATGACAAGCTGAGTTATTATTTTTATTTATGACTATATACATTAATAAATAGTTATTTTCTATTTTATTGATATTAAAATAAATATAAGGGAGGAGGATGGATGTGGTATTTGCCATTAGTGATTAAACTGATTCATTTAATTACAAATCTCCCTGATAAATTTAGGTAAGCAGCAATAGCAGCAAGAACTCTCAAAATTGATGCCATACTTAGGATGCGAGCAGGAAAAGGAGCAATTATTGATCAAGCAATGAGATAAGTAAGTACATATTTGATGATAAAGAGGCTGTTAGAATTAAGAACTTTTTAAGAAGATGTAGATAACCCTAAGGTTTCACTAACAGAAAAACTGCGGAATAATCTAGCAGAATTGGAAATTCTTCTTTCTACATCGTATATAGCTCAAAAAAGCTGCAAGCTGAAGAATTGACAGGAGGTAAAATGGAAGAATGTGATGTTTGTTCGGTACTTTTCCGTTTCGCCAGCGCAAATCTCGCCCAGCAGACTTTATTGGCGACAACTACAGTATACACATAAAAAATATTTAAAAAATGTTAGTTCTAAGAATTCTTTTTAAAAAAGAAGGACATAAACATTTAATATCGCTTAAATTTTAAAAAGCCAATAAATAAGAAATAAATTGTAAAAAGACATAATTTAAGAATTTACTATGCTTCATGTTCAACATCCGATTCGTCGCCGTTTCCTATCACGTGACCCCAAGTGATCTCATCTCACGTAAACTACTCTACAAAAATCTAATGCTCTCAGTAATTATCTACATTAAGTTAAATCTTAATTTGGAACACAAGTTTAAATGCAAGAAATATTTCAATTCGTATGAATAGCTACTCAGAAATTATGTAAAATGTAGTGCTTACTTCGCTAATGCATTCTCATTAGAATGGATGAATTTAACCCTTGACTTTACCTTTTCTATTTTCGCACTTGTGTTCCAATTAAGATTTAATTGAATTAATGTGATATTACTGAGAGCATTAGTTTTTGTAGAGTATACGTGAGATGGATCGCTGGGCCACGTGATATGAACGGCGAATAAGATGTAAACCATGAAGCATAGTAATTCTTAAATTAATGTCTTTTTACAAAATTGTCTTTTTTATAATTTTTTAAGCGAAATTAAATGTTTATGCCTTCAAAAACGAATCTTAGAATGAATTTTTTTAAATATTTTTTTATGTGTATACTGTATGTTGTCGCCAATAAAGTCTGCTTGGCGAGATTTGTGCCGGCGAAAAACGGAAAAGTAGGTACATTTCTGTTTCGCCGGCGCAAACGATAAAGTCGCCAATAATGGTACAACTGATGCCAAGCGGAATATCTTCGCTGGTAACCTTTTACACGTCATTTTCAAAACAGGTCGCAGCCATTTCTTGCCAGATTGATTGTTTCTTTCAATACTGGTATACAATTACATAGAAAATTTACAAAGATAATTAAATTTTATGCCCTAAGATTATTCGCGGTAATTAAGTCAATTAGGATGCAATCACACCACTCACCTGAAGGCAAAAATATTGAAAAGGCAAAGTCAAGGGTTAAATTCATCAATTCTAATGAGAATGCACTAGCGAAGTAAAGCACTACGGTTTTACATAATTTCTCGGTAAGCTATTTGTAGGAATTGAAATAATTCTTGCATTTAAACTTGTATTCCAAATTAAGATTTAACTTTAAATTAATGTACATAATTACTGAGAGAATTATATTTTTGTAGCGTAGTTTTATGTGAGATGAGATCACTTGTTGTCACATGATACGAATCGGCGAATCAGGATGTTGACCATGATAGCATAGTAATTAAATTGTCTTTTACAAATTTATTGTCTTATTATTACAAATATAAACCATATTAAAATGTTTATGCCTTCAAAATAAAAAATTTTAAGAACTAACATTTGTTAACATTTTTTATGTGTATACTGCATGTTGTCGGCAACAAAGTCTGCTTGTCGAGATTTGCACCGGCGAAGTGGAAAAGTATCGTTTGTTCTTTCTGAAATGGAGGGTTTCTTGCAGAAGGAATCATTTCTTCAATGAAGAAAAGAGAAACTTTGCTAGAAAATGAGATCTCTCTGAGATCAATATATATAGATCCAAAACGCGAAATTTTCTTGGATGACGAACAAATTAAAAAGACAAAGAAAGCCATCTATGAACTTTCATCAAGAATGAAATTATTCTCAGAACAATTGGAGAATTCGAATCAGGACAGTCAAGCTGCAGACATTGCAATTGAGTCTCTATCATCCACTTCCAGTGATGAATTAGATTTTGAGAAATATTTTTGGATAATACTGAAAAGGCTAATGCAAAACGAATGAAAATAAAGAACCAAGAGCCTTTAGATATAAAAATGAAAAAATAAAAACAAGCTTTCAACACGGCATTTGAAGAAATAGAGAAATATGATTGTGCTTTTTAGACACCTCTTTTAGAATATATAAAATTATATCCCGAAAAGTTAAAAGAAGCAGCTCTAATAGTAATAGCTCTTCCTCCTACCAAAGTTAGTGTGGAAAGACTCTTCTCAACTCTGAAGTTTATCAAATCGGATCTATGGCCTTCCAACAAAGAAGATCTTGATAAGCTATATTGTTTCTTAGAAATAACTAATGCCAGTTTTTCCATTTTATAATAAATGCTAATTAATATAAATAATTTGCTATGCCATCAATTTTTTTGTAGCATCTATTACTTCTGTAACCCATGTGTATCTATCTGTTGAGGGAGTCGAGTCGGAGTCGGTCATTTTCCCTACTGACTCCACAGCCTGGCTTCTGAGATTCAAATTACATTTTATTATAAGCATCTATATGGCATACAATATAATATCAACCTAAAGGTTTCCTGTCTTCACACTGGTCGCACAGGTTAGCGTAGTAATAGAAGCTCTCGATGAGATTAGGAACATCCCTGGTTTTTGTTTTATGCACATGTTTCCCTGATGACAAACTCTCCAGTAATGCAAACAAATTAGCATTTTTTTCAATTGACTGTGCTATCCTGAAATATTTATAAAATTTTAAATTCATGCATTATGTAAGTATTCAGAACAGAAAAAGAAAACTGAGAGAAAGACACAAACAAAAAATAAATTACACTCAAAAAAATTTTGTATGTATTACTTGATTAGACTATAAACACATTTACCCAAATAGAGCTAAAATCATTTCAAATAATTTTTTTATACTGCATAATTAGGGTTTTTTCATAAAAAAATGGAAGTGTTTCATTTTGTATACCCATCGCTTTTTACAACAGTTTTATCAATTACACACTTATCACTGCAAAGTTTGATGTCCTACAAAAAATTTCTCTATAAAAAATATCTCTAAATAAGGTAATGAGAGCCTGGAAATTAATGGTGATTGAAAAAATTCCATTGTACACTCCTGAACAGGAATTTGAAAAATCAGAAATGAAATACAGTAGCCACAACAATATCTAATAATCTGAATATCTATGAATGAATTATGATAAACTCAGTTTTTAAATGCTTTCATATAAACAATCATTTCTATACAATTTTAAACATTGCAAGCTCTTTTTACATGCTAATCATTTATATTATTTCAGGGTTAATTTTTTTTTTAAACATTCTGATGGTTACTACACAAATGTTTCCATCTTTCAAATTAAAAATACCCATGGTAAACAATATACATTGCAAGAAATTACCTGCTGCTGAAATAACCTCATCTGATAATATTCATACCAGAAAATCCCATTTCTTTCAAAATACTTAAATTCAAGACAGATTAAACACAGGATTAATTTCTGCTGTCAATTTAGTCTGCAAAAATATTTTAAAAATTATTGTTGCCCCACAACTGGCAACATATTACTTAAAATACAATTTTTAGTTTGAAAAGTTTTAGGCAACAAAATATTTTTAAATACATTATAATATTTCTTTAAGTAAATCTTAATTAAGAACTTTCTCAAAAGAAATAAACATAAAAAAAGATAAAGGTTTTTCTGCCTAACTTAGAATAAGAAAATCTTGTAAAAGTGATGGAAATTTTATAATCACTGTTAAGGATGGGAAAAAAAATCCTCAATATGTTAACTGCTAGTAAAAAGCAGTTTACATATTGAAGACTTTTTTTCCCCATCCTTGACAGGGGTTATAAAATTAAGGCAAGGAAATAAGATAAATGGCAAAGGAAATCTCTGAAACTTGACTATATGAATTCAAAAGTAACAAAATTCAACTCAGGACTTAACGTGAAAACACATTTAACACTCGTAAAAATGATATATCTATATCTACATTTCAGAAGCGTTGATGATTTGATGAACACTGAGGGGAATAGAAATGATATAAAATATTTGCTTTGAATAGATTTTGCACTAAAAGACATGAACTACCTCTTCCCTCATAAAAATAAACAGTCTTCTGTTATCCTGGCATTGGTCATCACAATATGGAAGTCCCAAGGATAAACTTTTTAATAATGTGGGCACTTTTTCCAGCATTTGCAAGACACTTTTAACAGAACTACAGTCAGATCCCATTTATTTAGTAATACTAATGAGACATTCATGATTAAGCTGAGGATGATGGGGAAAGAACTGAATAATAATTAATTAAAAAGGTGTGATTAATAATTTAACCAAATTTTCAAACAGTTTAATTTGGAGCGTAAGTTAATTTGGTTACACAAATTAAATCAATATTCAAAACAAAGAAAATTAGCAGAAGAATAGTCATCATTAGAAATGAAGAAATTGAGTTATAAATGGAACAATTATTTATAAGAGATTTTGAACAGTGTTACTGAGATGAAACTTGATAACAATATGTTAAAACTACAGAAAATACTACAGTTAAAACTACTTTTTTGACAGAGTTCATCTGCTGACACTTCTGTTATACAAAGTACTTTTCCTTATGTTTTTGTACTTTCTGTGAACTCTTTATTTTATGATGATGATATATAATGGCAATGTTTTCATAATTTCACTATAAACAAACAACTTTTTTTAGACCGGATTAACCAATTATTTGATCTATGTGCCCCTGATTAATTTCGGAGTTGACTGTAAGTTCAAAGAAAATTAATAAATTGTTACAGATGATACAGTACTGAACACACTCCTTTACAAAGAAACGAAAATATATTTACAAGGGAGGTGCAGTGCTATTAGTAAAAAATGAAAAATAAATCATCAGTAAAAATTCTGAATTGAAGTATTTTCCTTTTTAAATTGCACCTGCAGGGTTTTATTTCTGTAGAAGTTTAAATGACTTGTGTTTATAAACAAAACTTCACCACTAGCAAGTATTTAAAATAACATAAGCTGAAATTCAGCGACTACACAAAATGTCTACTTTAAACTGCCTCAAATATTTTAACAGCATGTTTTTAATGTTAACAGGCAAAATAGCTAAATCTGGAATTATCTCTGGCAGAGCTAGTGATAGGGTGTAAACTGCCAGCAAGGTTGCCAAAAGCTCTAATACTAAATCATTCAAAACTCTTGACTTAAATACTCAGTTAATTAACTTACATTTTAGCAAAAACTATGGAAAGAAGTTATAATAAAAATTTAAATCACAATAACTGCTTAATTAACATAAAGTATCTTATACACGTTCCTCTCTTTGAAGATCACCATACTATGTTTTCATTCTTATCTTTACAGTCCAACTATTAGCCAGACAAATATTATACTTGTTAAGAAATTATTGTATAATAATTTCATAATACCTGTTGATTTTTATATAGGTAGTTTTCTAGTTTTTGAATACATTTTGCATAAAATAAACTTCAAAATTCTCCTTCTAAACATTTTTAATTAAATCAGACCAGTTGCAACTTTCTTTCTTTCCACCGACAGCAAGGCAGCCAATCCACTGGAGTAGTTAGCATATCAGCTGATAGAATCGGTTAGAAAAGTTCCTGGATTACGGCTTCCTAGGTTTATGTTTGGTGAAGGGGGAAGTAAACTGATATGTTTTAGCTCTTTCAGAAGTCCACATAACACACTTTGGTGCCTATTGTACTCAAGACGAGTGTTGGAGTGTGCAAACAAATGCTGGGTAAGTCAATGGTGCAGTGATGAAAGAAGGGTACAATGAGGGTGAGGAGAATAATTTCATTTTCACATGTACAAAGTTATCATCTAAATGGTGTGGTGGTGGTGGTGTATTTAATTATGGCAAAGCACACGAGGGCTATCTGCCTAAAGGGAGGGATGCCTTTCGTGGAGGACTTTCTAAGGGAAACTGGCTCGTATACACGTTACACATGCGGAAAACCACGAAAACGCCCATGCAGCCAGCCCGTTCGCGGGATTCGAACCTCAGACCAAACTACCAGTGTTCAGCGTCTTTACCGCTCGGCCGCTGGTGGGCCATCATCTAAATGGTTACAACTTAAGTACTGTTAATATGCATGCATTAAGTACTGTTAATATGCATGCAAGTACTGTTAACGTTTTATCAAGGCAATAAATCAGTAGTGTGGATAGTTAAAATACAGGTATAACAGAGTTACAATCAGCTAAATAGTGCATTAATTATGAATATGAACAATTAACAGAGTGACTGATAAAAAAAGTAAAAATAATACATTAAATAAGGCAATATACACAATTCAAGGTTGGTCAACAGGAAATAAGTATAAACAGAAAAGAACAGAAAAAGCTAACTTAAAATAAAATACGTTAACTACAAGTATAAAACATACAAGGACTGTGCTGGTGACAAAGATGGCAGCTGAAAATTACTCCAGCCTGTCTGAGATATATGCGTTTCAGAGCATAGCAATTTTTCAAAGCCCATGCATTCAACTTCAGCCCATGCATGGATATGGTTCGCTACTGGTTGTTTAAGGTGATGTTCCGAGTCTCTCTGCAAATGAACACATAGTGGTCCTGCCATCTTGCATGAGCACTGGTAATTTTCACATCATCTAAAGTGATGCAGGTAAGTCATGAAGGGACAATGTCCTGTTAGAAACTGGGTAAGTAAGGCAAGCCACTTCTTAGAAGCTGACTGACTTTTGGGACCTTCGTACACTCTTCTGCCAGTAATCAATGATAAACAAACAAAAAAAAAAAAAAAAAAAATTAATCTGAATATTTAGGACTTTTTACTCAAAGGCTTAATTCAAAGATGCATGAATAAAGTACTAAACCTTGAGACTTAAATATTATTGGGAGTGATTATATTAAATGTACTGAATGGTCATGAGCCATTCTTACTGAATTACTACCTTGAAAAGATAATGTCATAAGACTGATACGATTATAAACCACAAAAGGACAACTTTTACATTCATACAAAGAATTTTTCTATACAGCTGTTATGCAATTGGTTAGACAATCTAAAAAATGATAGAAATGAAGAAGATAAGAGATGAAGCTTATTTAGTGGAAAATAGCTAAAAAGATATAAAATCAGTAAAAAAAAACAGGAGTGGAACAGAAATGGCCTATCCAAAGACTGCACTTGCAGACTGTATGAACATTTGAACTTTCATTTAGTTATTTTATATTTTGCTTTTAAAATTTTTCTGTTTGTGTCAAAGTTCTACTCCTTAAAAATTCCTGTAAGTTAAGTTATTTCCTAACAATTTAAGGTGGGAAAATGTTGGATTTCAGGTGACATGTAGTTTAGTTTATATTTTATACATATTTTCATTTATTTTATTCACTCCATGTTTTTCTGCTACTAATATCTGTAGTTTTGTTTCTTGAAAGTAGCAACAAAAACAACTTTTAGAACCACTAAAAATATGTTATTTAGAAGCTTATTAAAAATATCTGTTGTTTACAAAATAGATGCTTTAATAAATATCCAAACATAAATGCTTCTTTAGAATATGTTTATTAATCTCTAGATACACTGGATCCATGATATGATGGTAGCATAATAGTAGTAGTTTATTTTGATGCATAAGCAAGTAAGTAAATCAAACTGCAATAAGTAAAAGAATCAAAGAGATATTTAAAAAATTCAGGAAAGTGGCACACAATGTCACTTATAACAAGAGCACGAAAGAAAAAATTGATATCATCTATTAAGGAAAAGACAGAAATAAATCTTAAAATAATATAATCAAAGTAAGGAAGAGAAATGCAATTTGAGCTCACTATATGAAGATTACAGATATGCTGAAAGCTTACTGAAAATCCATTCTACAAAAAGAAGTTCATCGAATAATTTTTGAAGAATGAAATGTAAATGCATAGTCAAGACATAAAAAATCTCAGTTATGATGTTGTAAATAACAATTTTTTTTCTCTTCCCCATTTTCTCCTGAAGATTAGTTTTATTCCACAAAATTTTAAACATACCTTGTTTAACTTAAGCACAATAAAGTTTTTAAGCAAAGGAAACTGAAAATTCACCAAAAAGTAATATCTAAAACATACTTTTTAAGAATAATTTTATTACTGGAAGAAATAACCGGATACAAATACCAAGAAATTAAACTAGCGAAAAAATTTGTATAATTTATAAATTCCTAACAGAGAAAAACGGATAACCAAACTCCTACTATTATCTGCAAAAGAAATATGCCATCTCTAAATGACAAGTGCGAAAGTTTTAAACTGTTTTAACAAAATAAAAGATGGTTCTGTGCTTGTTCTGATATTAATTCAATTATTTTAGAACTTTTGCTAGTGACAGTTTTCCCATCTGTATTATAAAAAGCAATATTTTTTTAAAATTAACCTTAAGAAATAACACCCATCTTCCAAACAACTTAATATTTGATGTCATTCCTTCACAAACAACTCAGTTTTTTAAGGTATATTTTAAACTAAAAATGATAACACAAATAATTCTCTGTCACATACATAATCTACTGAAGCTCAGAAAAAAAAACTCAAAATACAAATACAATCTAACCAAAGGGCTAAGTTCTAAAGGATAAAATCTGAGTGTCTAAATATACAGATTTAGCACTTAGCTAAATTTTACTCAGTTGTTAATTTCACACCTACAACAAAGTAAATGCTGAGCATTAAATTTTGAGGTTTAACTTTTTCAATCCACAACACCTTACAGTGGATAGGAAATGAGCCCTAAGGATTCCAAGTTATATTTTTATTTCTTAATTCCTTTATATCATGCACAGTTTATATGATACTTCAAAATATTTGAAAATTATATGAAATGCAACTACTGATCACAAAAAGAATATTTAACATTATCGTTTAAAATATACCTGTACAATGTCTGCATTTTTTGCTGAGAGTCTTTTAAGGATGTCCATTTTTCTTGTCCTTCTAAGGAGCTCTTACTAGCAAGACTTAAAATTTGTTCAGATGCTATGGATACATCATACAAATGTTCTCCTGTAAATGGATCTAAAATTTTATGACTAGATTTTGTCCCAGCCTCATCCTCCTTTCCAGAGATCCATTTACCATCTAGATATCCAGCAAAATAATTGTTATGATCCTTCAACCATTCCTAAAATACATACAGAACATTTGATACATATCCATTAAGTTCAATGACAATACAATGTAAAACACATTAATGACAAAAATATTTTTTAAAAATGTTGAAGGATCTTTCCAATTTCTATGGATACGCCTTCAAACTTTCACACAATTCATATGAAAAAAATTAAAGAAAACCGATAGCAGATATATTAAAACTTACGATAGCTAAACTATTCGATTCAGAACCAGGTTCAAAGATATTATTTTGTTCGAACATTCTATGGATTTTCGCTTTCCTTTCGTCTGAGATTTTAGGAAAAAAACTCATTGCCAGCCTCTTAAAAAATAAAAATAAAGCTATCAACAAATGAAGCTTTCAAAAACGGATATCATGGGATTTAAAAAGTGATAAACAATTCCTCTTCACTTCTTTTCACTCTCATAACTTCTTCAGTTGAAGCTTTCTACTTCTTAAATTTGGGTTAAAAATTTTTTAAAAAATTCTGAAAGCTTTCAGATTTTACATTACACTCAAAGAAGCATTTTTTTAACGTTTTGTGTTTTTGTGTTTTACTTATTAAATATCATGTTCTTCGCACTTAAACCATAAAATTCAGTTCAACAGCAATATCGCAAAATAATTTTAAAATGAGTATATCTTCAGAATTTTAGGATACACAGTCTCGCGCGCTGGGGATAATATTTTTTCGTACAGTGCTGCCATTTCTCGCTTTGAAATTTTTGAGTTTGTTAATCAAAAATTCGTTAAAAGTTTTACAAAGTATCCGTTGTTTATCACAATGCGAAAAACATGCATACATTTATGCAGATTCTTCATTATTTAATTTCTTTAAATGTAATACTGGGCGATAATATTTGGTGACAACAATCTGAAAAAGGGATCAACACAAAATGCCAAAACGAAATTAATGAGATACATTCCGCAAGAGAAGAAGAGAAAGAATGACCTTGCTTGTTTGCATTAGCTGTACATAAGTCACGTGATCTCTGTGGTCATCTGCATTGTTTGTTTACAAAAGGTACACACAAGTCACGTGATCTATGAGGTCAGCGAAATGTATCTCATAGGCCTTCTGGGCATATTATCCCTTTGGACCCCCTGAAAAAAAATTGAGAAGAAAAGAGAGGGATGAAGAGGAGGGGGAAAAAGAACACAAAAAAAGAGTTAAAATCTGAAATGTTAAGATTTTAGCCGTCTCCCACAAGGGCGGTTTTAGGCTGCTACCACACATCCGTTTGTTTCGGACAAACAACTGTTCGGAACATTATTTCTGCTTTGTCATAATAGCCAATCACCACAGATTACTTTGAGGTTAACCAAGGATAACTAGATATAGTTCTACCGTCTGAAGCGCAACCCTGGTTGGCATTCTGCCAAAACACACAGACTCGTCCAAAAGGGACGGCATTACTTGCTGCGACGTGAAAGGTCTTCTCTTCTCCGGAAAGAGCTATGCTGGAGGGAAAGAAAGTCCCCATCCTTCCACCCTATTTTGAGAATAATTCGATCCGAATGGTGCATGCGTGTTTGCGCTCATAGGCGCGTATGAGGCGGTCGAAATATATCTGGTTGGTCTTTGGTTAACATGTAAAGGGGAAACTAGTTCTCCATTACAAACTAGAGCTACTAGAGATATAGAAGCCTTATTACAAACAAGCTCATAGCATTTGAAGTTGAAAGCTGATTGGTTGAAAATTAACAACTTGCAATATTTTTCGAAAAGAAGGAAAAAATCGCGCGTCCTTTTTTTTTTTTTTTCAATAGTAAACTAAGCAGAAAACTCTCCGAAACAGTTGTTTGTATGAAACAAATGCATGTGTGATATTTGCCTTAAAGTGTTTAATATTGTTTATCACCATTCTACTCAGGAAGTAAGTAGAGGTTATGAATAAGGGGTGGCTCAGGTAGAATAGCAAACATACTTATAGGATACTAGATAAATCAAGGCCAACTAAATATCTACAGGCCTGCTCCAATGTGATAATCACATGATGTGACGTCACGGTCTTATATTAGCATTTTTGTTAGCAGAGCTTTCTTTATCGCAATCCCGAGTAGAATGGTGGAACACAGAATAACTAGATGCATTGACCTTACCACCGTCAAACTATATTCAGTTCTGAATTTATCAAGGCGAACTAAGAAAGAAGATTCTAACAGTAATTACAAATGTCCTGAAATTGAAGAAACATAATAATATTCACAAGAAAAGTCCGGTAATTAATTGTGGCTGTAGAGCTGAAGACAAAGCATGGCATGTAAAAGGCAGGTACGAAAATGTTAAGCACGTAATAACGCTAAGAAAAACACACATACAAACCAAAACTACAAATACATAAGCTAAGAGTAACTACAAACTTCCAAAGTCCCACACATTGAAAATAAATGCAGATACAAAATATTAAACTCTTAGCACAATATCACACCTACTCAGTTTCCATTTACACCAGATAAATTGTCCGCTAAATATGTTCTCCAGAATATTAAACAGTCCAAAAATTTTGTCAATAGAAGTAGGGCAGCACGAATCTCATCCATGCGATCAGTGGTTGTTCTAATTACATAGAGTATGGAAAAGTCACTGAAAATCTTATTTATTTCTTCCTAAAATCTGCAAAAGCTGCAGAGATGTTATTTTGCGGAATTTTTCTTTTGAGAATTTCTATTTTTTGTTTTGTCTGCCCTGTTGAGAGGTGGCAATGAAGTCTGGTCATTTATATCAATGGTTTTATTAGATCTATCTGTATTTGCTTCCCTATTGGGGCAACCCTTAGAAGTGGTAGGTATGTTAGAATTACGAGTTTCTTCTTGATTTTGGCTAAACCACACCCTCCACGTGGCTCCATCACAGTATACTCCATCACAGTTACAACAGATGAGTTTATTAATAAATTTTGCTTCGCATTCTGAACTCTTATGAGGCACAACGCATTTAACCCACCTCGGAGCGAGTCTGCACTCATCCGAAGAGTGAAAGAAATACTGGCAGTTGTGGCATTGAGCCACACTATCTTTGTAGTTGTATGGTTCAACTGTAACATCAGAACAGAGATTAAGGTTACTCAAATCATAAATTTTCTCCGTTCCCGAACCATTGGCTAAGCAAACTTAAAATAGAGGCAATTGTGTCCCAGTTTTAAATATGTAGATTTGATTAACTTTAATGACATTGAATCCATCGGCAATCAACTATTCTTTTATTTCACCCGTGGTGTAGTCAGAGGATAAATCTTGTAAAACTACCTTCACTGGCTGTACTTTTTTCGTACCTAATATATAATGTTGGGTACTATTAGCTTCCAGTTATCTGCTGATCTCCCGTGAGGGTCAATGGTAAATGGTAATAATTTTAAGAATTCTCCAAAACTTCTAGCAGTAAAAGCCACATTTAGTTCTTCTTTGAGTTTTTTTGATAAAGTCGTTGAATAAGTGGAGGAATAACCAAAATCGGTATAATTCTTGGTTTGGGTTAATCGCTGCCCAAGTGGGTAGGCATTTTCAGAATTCTTCCCACTATTATTTTTAGCACAAACAGCATTCATATCAACATCATTTTCATTGTTATCAAGAGTTGCAAACTTGTTAGTTTCTTTAACATCCAAGCTCTCTGAAGGATTTTGCATGGCCGGGCGGTCTTCCCAGGAAAAGTAAATCCCTCCGAGCACGTGTTTTTTTTTTCCTGAGCATGTTTATTCGAACTGTTCTTGGTTTTAGTACAGGACATAAATTTAGCTACATCAGCACCATATTTGACAATATCAAAAAACGTACATTTTACCAGATGTACCAGACTCATTAGCGCAAACAGAAATACACTCTGTCACACAAAAAATATATGCATCCAGAAGAAATCGAGCTACAATCACAGAACTCGGTAGGAATGTAGTCTGATAAGAGATATGCACATGTTTTAAATTTCGACGCCAATGAGAAAAGGGTAAGCGCGCTAAGTGCATATCAGATGCGCCGCTGGGAGAGTTTAAAAGCATGATTGTTCGTGCCGTAAGCCTATTCAAACAAATCTGTCGACTTATGTCTACAGATGCCTCTGATATGTGACCGGGGACAGTACGAACAGTTGTCGGACTCTGAAAAGGGGCGTACAGTAGGGCTCAGAGAAGCATGTTGGTCGAACAGGTGTATGGGCCGCCACCCTAGTCGGAGAAGAGATATGGTAGTTGCTCGGTATTAGCAACAACGGATCAGGGATACTCTACCGTTGCGGAGAGTCAGGACGTCCCAGGAACAGAAATGAGCGTGAGGATCGCACAATACTAAGAGCGGTCACTTCCGCACAAAAAATGTCGCTAGCATCAGTTCGACGCCATGTATAACCTTCCAGGCATCCGGTGGTAACAAGAGAAACCATTCAGAGGCGACTGGCCGACGCTGGTATATGCTGCCGACGTTCATTAAGATGAATACCACTGACCCCACATCATTGGCAGTATCAACTGAATTTTTGCTGAACTCGGGCAAGCTGGAGTGCCACCGACTGGAGGCGTGTGATCATCAGCGATGAATCCCAATTCAATCTCAGGGCTGATGACGAATGTACATGCGTGTGGATGCGACCAGGCCAGCGGTCCGATCCGGCATTTGTTGTCGAGGGGTATACGGCGATTACACAAGGTGTGACAGTGTGCGGAGCGATTTTTTTGGGACATGCGATCGCCTCTAGTCGTCATTTAAGGCACTATGATAGCTCTCACTTACGTGGAAGAGACTTTAAAGCCGGTTGTGCTGCCTATGCTATCAAGATGCCTATGCTCGTCCACATACTGGGCGACTCTCCAATAACATCTTCAAGGAGATGACGTATTCCCGTGGCCTACCACGTCACCAGACCTCTCGCCAATAGAGCAAGTTTGGGATATGATTGGAAAGCAACCGCAGCCGTGCCGGAATATTGGTGAATTAACTGCCCAGTTGCAAATTATGACACGACCTTACGCAGGAGGGCATAGATGACCTACTTGATTTGATGCCACGCCGTGTTTCGGCTTGTATAGCTACCAGAAGTGGCTATACTACTCATTGATTTGTTACCTTTTTTATGCCATAACTTTTCAATAAAACGATCTTTTGTTCTGAATTTGTAATCATATGATTATCTCTTCATGCATTGCATACATGTTTAGTTTCGTGGCAGTAGATCGTTTCTTTGTAGGTGCATAATTATATATATTTCTTAACATTATCAACAGACATTTTGCCTAGTACACAACTTTCCTTACCATTCGAATTAGTTACATAAGTATTAATTACATTAGAATAAAAAACGGAATTTTTACGTGCCTTATATTTTTTGCACTTACCGTTCCAATTGTGGAATTTGCCCTCCATCTCCTTAATT